CCTAGAACAGTGCTGGCACATGGATTGTTTAGTATGTGTTGAACAAATCTTTTGTGATGATTTTTATTCCAGAAAATTCTATTTTGAGATTATCAAAATCTTTTAAAAATAGCTGAGTCCTCTGGATACCCATCTTCAGAAATGTAGTTAGTATGAACCCAACAGGGATACACAAAACAATGTATATTTTCAAGCTTCTCTAAAATTAAAGCAGAGAATGGTTATGTTAAGTAAAGAATTTCTGTTTTCTCTTTTCCATTATCTGTGGTTCTTCAAGCATCTGTTCCTTCTTCAGGTCATTTCCTCCCTGCCTCTTTCCATCTATTTCATGACTCATTTCAGCATCTTTAAACTCACCGGAGTATTTTCACTTTTCCTTCAAAGGGACTCTACTTTCTCCATCATGTGAATTTCCCCAAGGGCTGCAATTCTATTAATACTTGGTCTCCTGGAGAGCCTTCTCGTTCCTCTTAGTCTACCCTCCAGCACACAGATCATTACAATAATTATCCTCAGCCATCTTTTCTCTTGGGTCGTTCCTTCTGCTCAAGAATGGTTATCTGTTGCCCATAGATGAAGGTTACATTCTTTTGCCTGGTTTTCAGTATCTCCTATCACCTCTCCTCGCTACCTGTATCTCCAGGAACATGTGTGTTTTTTTCCCAGACTACAAAATAGTTCTCCAGCACCAGCTAGTGTCCTCCAGTTCAACTTGATTCTAACACTATCTACCTGGAGATGAAGTCAGATCCCACAGGCCAAAGTGCTCAGTCCTGCACGACTGACCCCACTTCAGAAGCCAATTCCAGGTCCAGGTTGTGGTGCGTCTGACCAACTGGCTGTAAATCAGAGGTTTCCAAGACCTCCTCTTCAGTCTTGAGTAATTTATTACTAGAGCAGCTCACAGAAATCTGGAGACTAGTTTACTCACTAGATTACCAATTTACTACAAAGGAAAGTTTGTACAAAGGTAGCTTCAGTCGTGTGACTCTTTGTGACCCCCTGGGCTATAGCCCGCCAGGCTCCTCTGTCCATGGGATTCTCCAAGCAAGACTACTGGGGTGGGTTGCCATTTCCTACTTCAGGGGATCTTCCTGACCCAGAGATCTAACTCACGTCTCCTGTGTCTCCTGCATCTCCTGCATTGCAGGCAGATTCTTTATCACTGAGCCACCGGGGAAGCCCTACCAAGGAAACTAAAGGATGTAAATGAATGGCCCAATGAAGAGCTACTTAGGGTGAGGTTGGAAGTGTCCTGAACAAGAGATTCTCTCTCCCTGGAGTTTTGGTTATGACATCCTCTCAGCTAGCATACCCAGAGCTGTCCAAAAGTCACCTCATCAAGATAACAAAGACACATTTATCATTCTCATCATTTGAGACCTTCCAAGGGTTTTAGGAGCTCCATGCCAGGAATGGGACAGAGACCAAATATCTGTATTTTATTATCACAAAATCACATACATAATATCCTACTGGTTCTAAATTAATACACCTTTATTTGAAATTTTTCTTTCTTGTTAAGGATGATAAGAAATTCACAAATAACTAACAAAATAAAGATGGGTCAAGTACAATGAGATACAAAGGAAGTGGCGATGGGTATTTAGAATAGAGAAATGGCATCAACTAGGGAGATAAGTTTTCATTAAGGAGTTAACATTTCAGATGGGTACTGAAGGAGGTGGGGATAATGAGGACTTCATCTGTAGGTGGAAATAAAGGGGGCTAGAGAAGAGATCCTGTGGACAGAGGAAAGTAAGGGGCATATTTAGGAAGATTACATACCTAGCTTGTGTGATACAAAAGAAATGGTAAAGAAAGGGAAAGAAGACAAGGAAGTATTAAGGTATCACCTTTGGGTAAAGAGTTAAATTCTAGAATTTGCCATTCACTTTGCAGTTGGTAAACAGCAGAGACTCAGAGTGTTTCTGTTTTTATGGGCATGAGGAATATAACTGGACCTTGAGTGGATCCAGCAGCAGAAACTGCAATTGATTGGAAAAAACATTAGAAAAGACCAGGTCTGTCATCAACAGGTCCCTGATAAATGCAAGCCCACTGACCAAGAGAACTTTGAGTTAAATTTCTCCTCAGCATATCGAGGTACTATGTTAATGTGTTTTCAAAAATCACTTCTCAAGATTTTTAGGGAGAAAACAGTAAAAATGATGCAGAATGAGAATATAAATACTGCTTTAAACCTAGATTGACCTTCCAAAATGAACTTGAGCCCTGCTTTATTGTTTCAGATCAAAATGCATGATCAGTGTATGCTTTTCCCATTGTATGCTCAGCATTTCCTATAAGAAGTGAACAAGACATCTTTCTATACCTCCTCTGCAATTTAAAAAAAAATCCATGCTTCCCATTTTAATGACTGTATAAATTCTCATAGTAAAAGGATCTGTAGTTTCCCACTGAACTGAATCAATCACTACGTTTATTGTTAGCACATCTTAAAACCAGAAACAGGACTATATGTAATGTCCCCCACTCCCCGACATGCCAGAAACACATACACACACACATATAAGATGAACACCCTCGACATCCCAATGTTTGATAGACTTAAGAGTACCATTATTACATTGTGTAAATTTATAGTCACATAGGGCTTCCCTGGTGACTCAGTAAAGAATCCGTAAATTTGTAAAGAATCCACCTGTATTGCAGGAGACCTGGGTTCAAGCCCTGCATCATGAAGATCTCCTGGAGAAGGAAATGGCAACCCACTCCAGTATTCTTGCCTAGGAAATCCCAAGGAAAGAGAAGCCTGGCAGGCTACACTCCATGGGGTCCCAAGAGTCAGGCATGACTTAGCGACTAAACCACCACCATTCTTCAACAAATACTATTAAAGTGCATATGTAGTTATAACGCAAGTGTCCACAGAGAGTTGGTATGTCTCCACCATAGGGCTGGTAACACCTTTTTCTACCCTACCTACCTACCTCCCTATCCCCAGCCCCTTTTAATTTATAGTTTATAACATTTTATTCTAGCTTTACTGTTTATACCAAATCTTGAGTTTAATCTCTTTGTAAGCTGCAGCCCATGGGGTCGCAAAGAGTCGGACACGACTGAGCGACTGAACTGAACTGACCGAAGTTTATAACACATTCTTTAATTATTTGAGTTAAATTTAACTTATTTTTCTCCTCATAGAAGAAACTGAAAAGACCTTTAAACTTTCTGACTTCATGGCCAAGAGTATTTTTTCCAATGAAGAAACATACACATAAAAAAAGAAACCTGGTAACAAACTATTTTATAAATAGGTGACTGTATTTTTCTTCATGTCCAGAAACTCTTGCTGAAACAGAAGTCAGGGATATTCCTCACAAACCCACACAGCTCATAGATCTAACACCAGGTTTTCATTTGTACCAAAATGGGCAAGATGATGAAGGCACAGGCTCACTTTTGTTTTGATAAAGGACGTCAAACACAGTCATGAGGCACTATGACAAGGATGCATCATCAGTCACGAAAAGTAAGCGGTCAGAGTTTTCAGTCACTTCTCTCCCTTTAACGTTTGGCAAAATTCAGCCTAGATATTTTAATACCCCAGAAAGAAAAAATAAATATGAGATGCTACATTAAAAGGTCAGGTGATACATTATCACTCTTTAGACACAGAAGGGAAGGGATGAAATAAAGAGAGGGGACCGCAGATTTTCTGTATTCTTGGATTATCCTTCCTTTCTGAGGGGCTCAGATGTCTGCGTGCATCTGTTGAATGCCAGCTCTACCTGAAGATTGAAGAGATGGTTGGTAGCTGCGGACATGGTCCCTCGACACTATTAAAAGTTTCTATCGCACAAACAGAATTAGCTTGATTTCTGCTCTTTAGTCCTGTGTTAAAAACTAAGCCGAATTTGATTATCTATAAGTGATCTAAAAACTTTAAAGTAAAGGAAAATATATATTCTAGCTTCTTAAGAAGAAACAGATTACAGGTTTCGACTTCAATGGCAAATAAATACACTTGAAAGCCAAGCAAGTTTCTCTCCTGCCGGGGAGTCAGACTATGAAAACAGTTCTGATTTCTCTACGGTGGATGACCACATCACTCATAGAACATACCAGGAACTAGTTTCACAATTTTAAGAGACTTTTTTCCGTAATATGAAAGGTGAGGGTTGAATCTAGTTCTGAGCAGGCAGAATAGATCTGCACTCACAACATCCTTATCACAAATACATGACAAATGAAACAACAAAGTGTGGCCGATCTCTGTTTACATCAAGACCTTGTAGACACATGATATCTAAGTACTTGCTTTCTATGCGCTAATATCACCCATTGCCAAGACTCCAACTTGGCAGTCAATGGAGTGTGCCATTTACAAGGAAGCCTGAAATCTACAACTGCAGAAATAACATGGAAATGTATCAGCCTATCTAACGTAAATATATTTTCAAAAAGTTTTCCTAGGAAATTGACTTTAATAGTATCTCCCAAGTCTTTCAACCAAAGTGACTTTGATAATTTTTGTCTTTTTATGTCAAAATCCACCAAAAATGTTTAACTGTGTCCAATATTAGGAACAAGGAGCCAATACAACATGTGTTCACAATTAATTGTTAATATTTCAGTGAGTTACAATAAACTGTTTTTGCATGCTTGAAAAATTGTGAAGAAAACATTAAGGAATACTTATGGGAGGATCTCAATAATTGGGTGTTTTCATTTTGCTTTAAAAACAACTTCTAATATTCAACTCCAACAACACAGTAAGTGTGTGTATATATATACACATATATATAAAGTTCATTTCCATGCTCATTACATAAAAATAACTATGAGAAATATCAATCTATCAGTGTCAGCTGACATATATCCAATGAATTCACTGCAGAGGAGGGGGAAAGACCAAAAAAATTCTAAAGTAATCAGTAAAGCTCACAGTTTGAAAAGATTTGATTTTTTTTTTTTTTGCTTGCTTGAAATTCTTTTGGTAGTCTGTGCTCTGTCATAATAAGCCAATTCCCAGACTAATGGCCTCCAAGCAGATTTGAAAGGAAGCCTGAAGACTTCTTATTTTGCTGGCCTTCTGCTTCCTGGTCTTGTGACAGTCCCAATTCACTCTCAATTTGATCAAGCTCTGACTGGTCCAGGAGTTCAAAGTCATCGCCCTCCTCCGTGTCTGTGTCCTCCCCGGGGCTGGGAGCAGCCTGAGACAGCACTTGGCGCATGCCCGCCAACTGGTCTTTGACCGCGGCGGTCACCGCGGCCGTGATGACGTCCCCAGCCAGGTTGCTCATCAGGTGCAGGGTCTGGTCACTGCTCAGAGGAAGGGTGAGACCAGCTGCTGACTTCTTCTCTACGCTCTTTCTGGGACCACTGTCCAACTGCTCCTTTTTTCTCTTGAGCTCAGTGGGCAAGCCAAGGCTCAATTCATCTTCATCGTTTGTTCCCGTGCCATTTTCTAGTGATGGAAAATCTGAAAGGTCTCGAGAGAAAACTTCCTCACTAGGTCGGTCAAGATCTGTAAAATGCAGGATAGAAGTTGAGGCTTAAGCAAAACCATAATAATTTTTTTTTTTAGTGATTCAACTTTTAACTGATGAAGCTGTTGTTGTTTAGTCTTTAAGTCATATCCGACTCTCTGGCAATCCCACAGACTGCAGCCCATCGGGCTCCTCTGTCCATGGGATTTCCCAGGCAAGAATACTGGAAGTGAAAATGAAGTGAAAGTGAAAGTCTCTCAGTCGTGTCTGACTCTTTGCGACCCCCATGGACTGTATACAGTTCAGGCCAGAATACTGAAGTGGGTAGGGTAGCCTTTCCTTCCCAGGGGATCTTCCCAACCCAGGGATCGAACCTAGGTCTCACCCCATAGTCCATGGGGATCACAAAGAGTCAGATACAACTGAGCGACTTTCACTTAAGAATATTGGAGTGGGCTGCTGTTTCCTTCTCCAAGGGGGATCTTCCCGACTCAAGGGTAGAACTCTCATCCCCTGCGTTTCCTGCATTGACAGGTGGATTCTTAACCACTGAGCCACCAGGGAAGCCCAGTTTATGAAGTAACAGTTTACTATCACAGACATACAAAAAAATGGAAAAAATCAAAGGTTTATAACACCCTGTAAAGCCATAATAAATTTGAAGTCTGAATTGTCTAAAAGATCCCTGCTTTTAATTGGAATCCTCTGGATCACCTTGGCATTTTTCTAGACTCCCAGCTCAGTTTCAATCAACTTAACCATATATCGGATTCCTCCAAAGTCTGGGACTCTCCACAAGTACACAAATACGTTGTGTCCCCTGATGGCCTTAACCTTCCTCTTTAAGGACAAGAAGTGTGTAATGACTTACTATTCAACTTATCTTAAAGTCAGCTTGGGCTCTGATTAGAGTTTAGTGACAGTGAAAATGTTAGTCACTCAGTCTTGTCCAGCTCTTTGTAACCCCATGGACTGTAGCCCGCCAGGCTCCTGTATCCATGAAATTCTGTAGACAAAAATACTGGAGTGGGTTGCCATTCCCTTTTCCAGGGGATCTTCCCAACCTAGGGATCAAATCCAGGTCTCCTGCATTGCAGGCAGATTCTTTACCATCTGAGCCACCGGGGAAGCCCCTGAGACAACATGCTTAAAATCAAAGGGTTTGTTATCCTGATCTTGCAGATGTTTACAGCTTGTAGAGCTTGAGAGGACTTCAGTGAGCCTCTTGTTCTAATGCACTTTAAAGATGAGGAAATTGAGATCCACAGAAATTAATTATGTCACTGTGCAAGGCCATTTAGTAAGTTAATGACAAAGGCAAGGCTACACTTGGGTTTCCCAATCTCCCAAACTCTATTATTTCAACATCACATAGCCTTCTTCCTTCCTCTAGAAAAAGGAAGTATGTTCTTGCCTGTAAAGACATGTAAAATAATTTATTCATAATCCTCCATTATAATTGCTTATATTTTCAGTATATGGTTAAAATAATCCAATGAGACTACCAAAACTTATTGCACAAGAGTTGTCTCAAATTTCATTTTAAATTGTACTTAACCTAATTATAAAAAAGAAGAAAGCTTTTTTTTTTTTTTAAACTAACTTGGAAGAAAAATACGAGCAACCCTGAAGTCAGCTTTTGATTCAGGAAACCTGACCCCACGGTTCAGTCCCTCTTAATGAGAGCTGGCCCTGGGTATACGGGATTAGCTTTTCTCTTCCCCTCTCCCACCACTGTGGTCTTTGCTGGTGGCTCAGATGGTAACGAATCTGCCTGCAATGCAGGAGACCCAGGTTCAATCCCTGGGTTGGGAAGATCCCCTGGAGATGGGAATGCCTACCCACTCCAGTATTCTTACCTGGAGAATCCCATGGACAGAGGAGCCTGGTGGGCTATAGTCCACGGGGTCACAAGGAGTTGGACATGACTGGGCGTGTATGTGTATGTGTCTCACTATTTCCCATTACTGCTATAAATAATGCCACCAGACATTCCAGAAGTTTTTTCATTGTCAATTGTTTTAAAAATAAAGGCAGATTTGGACATTGACTGGCTTAGACTTTTTTCTCACACTCTTAAATAATAGATTTTGAGATATAATTCATGTACTATAAAACTTACCCTTTTAAAGTGTACAGTTAAGTAGTCTTTGGTACATTCACAAGGCTGTACAATATCTCCACTCTCTAATTCTAGAACATTCTCATCACCCAAAAGGAAACATATTATTTACCAGTCACCCTCCAGTCCCTCTTCCCCCAGCCCCTGGCAGTCACTCATCTAATTTCCTTCCATATGGATTTGTCTGTTCTGGATATTTCATATACATGGAGTCACACAATGCATGGACTTGTGTGTTTGGCTTCCTGCACTCAGCATATCATGTTCAAGGTTTATCCATATTGTAGCAAGCGTCAGTGTTTCTATAGCCGAGTGATATTCCATTGCATAGATGTAGCACACTTTATCTAGTCAGAAGCTGACACAGTTAAATACTTTTGCATGGACTCAAAATAACCGAGCATCTACAGGCGTGAACATACCGTCAGAAGTGTCTGTCTGTGGAGTGTATCCTTCTGAGAGGTTGAAGGTCCCATTGTCCGTCCAGGAGACCTCTGACACATCGGTGTCAGACACAGACAATTCTTTGGCAGCAGTGGTAAGGCTAATCTGTATTAATATAAATGCCAGTGACACATTTCAAACTTCTATGGGAGGTCTTTCTAAAAATCCAACTAACACCAAAAATGTCAGAATAATAAGAACCAGATGAGGGTTTTCCTTTTAATAGTTTATAATCATCTTAGAGAAATAGGAGAAGTTGTATTAAGAAAATCATTCCAGTTTTGGTACAAGTAGATACATTGACAGGCAAACCACACAGGAACAAATTGAAAACTGAACAAAAAATACCTTAGGACAAAGAGCTGAAAAGTCTAATTCACTGTCATCTTTGTGACTTTTTTCTTTATCTGCTTCTGTTGAGAAAAAATTTGGAAGCTTTCAGTTTCCTGGCTGGCTCAGACAGAGTGTATTTTATCCATTATATATCCTGATCCCACAATCCTCATATCCTCCAATGCCTCCACATAATTAAATGTTTGCACATAACGAGCATCACCTATTTGCAAGTGCTTGGTTTCCGAGGGAAATGGTCCATATCAGTGGCTCTCACAGCGTGGCCCCTGGACCACAGCAGCAGCAGCAGCACTGGGAATCTTTCAGAAACACAAATTCCCAGGCCCTCCCCCAGACCAACTCAATCAGACACTCTGGGGGAAGCCGTGTAATCTAAGCTTTATGAAGCTCTCAAGATAATTCTGGTGCTCGCTCTAGTTGAGAATCTATAAGGTCAGAGGCCAAGTTAAAATGTGAGAAAGGATCGCACTGGCCTTCCCTCTATTTTCTCTTCCTTCCCCTCTTCCATGGTTCCCACTCTCTGCCCTGCCTGTGTCACTTGTTATTTGCAAGCAATTACTCCAAAAGAAAACAATGTAGAGAAAGTAAACAATAAATAGTAAATATAGACCTCCAAAGCCTTTTCTCTTTCCCCCAATAGTTTGGATTAAAAAGTCACTTTATTATACGTGTGAGAAAAGAATAATACAAGCCTAAATAGGAAAAGGCTATGTTACTTTGTGGGGGAATCTGCTTCTGTAATAATATGTAGTTAATGGCTAAAACGCCCTAAAATGCATTCAAAGTGATTTCATAATAAAGAGCCAGCAATGCCTCATTTCAGGTGTGGAATCTAAAATCCAAATGTTACCTACCAGATCTCTCACGTTTCTTCTGGTTAATATATTCTCTGATTCCAAAATCTAGTTTCAGGAGAAATGACTTGATTTTGCTGTATATTTTTTGTCCAATATCATTACACTTGAACAGTGGACACAAAAATGCACACAGCACTGAAAGATAAGGAGGAAGAGAGGTTAGGGGAAATGACCTTGTTTTCCAACTACCTATTAGTATTTCACAAAATTATTTCAGTTCCTTTACTGACAAAGTGGGTTTTTTTCCTTGGGGAAATGCCTCTGTGAAATAAGTTCATAATTTCATTCTTCCCCTTGTAATGAAAACATTTTCACCTACACACATACACATACACACACACACACACACACACACACACACACCTCATGGTCATTGTTCTCAAAGACTTTGAAATTAGATAACCCCATCCGCTCCAACCCTCTTACACTCAAAATTCATACAAAGGTTACGTGGTTCTCACACAACAGTCCTGGATTAACATATCAACTCTACTCATTTGTTAAATGACATTTCTCCATAGAAAAGTTACAGTATCCCTTAGCCTCTCATCAGTCATATTAGGATAATAACATCATCTCTGGGGGTTGCTGTGAAGAATAACTGAGATGAATACAGACCATCTGACTAATGCCTGGCCCATATTTAGACCCTCTTTCCCTGGCTCTCTTCTTTCTCTCTTAAACAAGGCAGCTCAAGGGCTGACACACCCCACGTCAGTTCTACCTGGGAGAATGGATTTAAGCTCTGACCATCTGCTTTCCCTTGCGGCTCAGCTGGTAAAGAATCTGCCAGGAATGTGGGAGACATGGGTGTGATCCCTGGGTTGAGAAGATCCCCTAGAGAAGGGAAAGGCTATCCATTCCAGTATTCTGGCCTGGAGAATTCCATGGACTATACAGTCCATGGGGTCGCAAAGAGTCAGACATGACTGAGTGACTTTCACTTCACTTCATCTGCCTTTTGTGCTGGGCTTTAGGAATATGAAAAGAAATGAAGATCAACACAGTATGCCCTAATCAACATTGTATGCCCTCATGTTTAGTTCTTTGCCAGTTGTTAGGACACATGCCCATTTACCTTCTTTAAATAGGAGTTGTAAACTCAAATATCTTTAGAAGCTGAGAAGGTATATGTAAAATGTAAAGGCTGGTGCAAGAAAAATATGGAAATGTGAAGGTTAGTTTAGTGGAGAGTTGCTGCCCCATCGAAAAAGGTGGCAGGGCCAGACTGTCACATTTTTCAGGAAAAGCATAAAGTCACAACTTTTTTACAGCACTTCTGAGTTATAGTTGATATATGATAAATTACATACATTTAAAGTGTGCAGTTTGAAAAGTTTTGACACATGCATATAACTAAGAAATTGTCTTTAGACAAATAATGAACATGCCTGCCAGCCCCCAAAGTTTCCTCCTATTTCTCTTAGCCCTTCCTCTCCTGCCTTTCCCAACCCCACCTACCTCATCCTAGGCAATCATTTATGTGTGTTGTTACTAAAGATTACTGTGAATTATAAATAAAGGGAACCACACAGTGTGTAGTCTCTTTTTAAACCTGGCCTCGCCCACTCAACCTATTTACTTTTCTATTTATCCAGACTGTTGCATTTATCAATTTTTTAGTGTTGAGTAGTAATCCACTGTATGAATTATATCACAATTTGTTTACCCACTTATCTATTGATGGACATCTGAATTATCTTCTGATTTCAGCTACTACAGATAAAGTGAAAGTTGCTCAGTCGTGTCCGACTCTTTTCAACCCCATGGACTATACAGTCCATGGAATGCTCCAGGCCAGAATACTGGAGTGAGTAGACTACAGGTAAAGCCTCTATGAACATCTATGGACAAGTCTTTGTGAAGGTGTATGCTTTCATTTCCCTTGGGTAAATAAATACCTTGCTTTGAAATGGCTGGGTCATAGAGTCGTGTTCTGAAAAACTGCCAAATTGTTATCCAGAGTGGCTGTGCCATTTTACCGATCCACCAAGAGTGCATGAGAACTCTAACTGTTCCATATCCTGCCTAATACTTGATACGGTCAGTAGTTTTAATTTCTGCCATTTTGGTGGGGGTATAATGGTGTCTAATTGTGCTTTTTTTAAAAAAATAACTTTACTTATTATTTTTGGCTGTGTTGTGTCTTCATTGCTGCGTGGGCTTCTCTCTAGTTGGGGCGAGGAGGGGCTTCTCATTGCTGTGGCTTTTCTTGTCGTGGAGCACAGCCTGTAGGGTGTCTGAGCTTCAGTGGCTGGAGCACATGGGCTCAGAAGCTGTGGCTCCCAGGCTCCAGAGCACAGGCCCAATAGTTGTGGTGCACGGGCTTAGCTGCTCCAAGGCATGTGGCATCTTCCCAGACCAGGGATCAGATCCATGTTTCCTGCTTTTGGCAGGCGGATTCTTCACCACTGAGCCACCAGGGATGCCCTCATTGTGCCTTTAATTACATTTGAGCTGTCAATCATGCACAATGGCAAAGGAATTAATGTGTTTTGGAGCGGTGGAGAATATAACGTTATTGTTTTATTGACACAATTTAAAATAAAATGAGTCATTTACAACTTTGCTTTTTGACAGCGATTTGTACAATTGTGGAAAAGCAACATGTCTCTAGAAAAAGGAGAAACTTTGAAGAGCAGAAAATTAAAAAAGAGTCAACTTGCTTTATAATCAAGAACTCATACCTGCTCTTCTAAGTTATGGAAGTTCCTTATAGACCATTAAAGAACATCGTATGTGTCGTATCAATTAGCCGAATGTTCTACATACTTACACAGTAGATAGCTGAGTATAACCCCAGGAATGTAACTCCCCAAGATGGTAAAAAAGGTGCACACACTGCAGACCAGGAGACAAAACTAGAAGTAACAGAAGTAATGTCACAGTTACTCACTTGCTCATAACACCAAGACACTTCAGAGCAGAGGACAGACACACAATTGTTCATCTGTTTGCCATCTATCGTGTTGTGGCAAATGTTCTTCAGTGTTCTCTGCACTTAATGACTGCTGTGTTCAACGAGCCTTAACCTCACATTTAATAATAATCATTTTGAAGATTCCAGAAGCTAATTTCTGGTGCAGAGAACATCTCCCATTAATCATGCCAGCGGCTATCTTACTAGGTGCAAGAGACCTGAAGAGTAGTATGTACCCGGAAACTTCTTTTTTTTTTTTTTTTTGTCATTTTATTTTTATTTATTTATTTATTTTATTAGTTGGAGGCTAATTACTTTACAATATTGTAGTGGTTTTTGTCATACATTGACAAGAATCAGCCATGGTTTTACATGTATTCCCCATCCCGATCCCCCCTCCCACTTCCCTCTCCGCCCGATCCCTCTGGGTCACTCAATGAAAACAACGCAGCCCAGGAATGAAATCTGTAAGTTTAAACTACAGCTGTATGTCCATGAAAATCCACAAATCCAGCAAAACACGTTAGACAAATTAGAGTTATTTACATTAACATAACAGCAATTTACCCAGAGGGTAAGCAATTGTGATTGTAGATTACCAGTAGATTGTAGGATAAATCTACTGGCCATTACTGTCCTCCTTTCTAACCATCTGCCCCTCAAACCGACTCTACTCCTATGTCACCTGGAAACCAACGATGAGTGAAACTAAATTCCTACGGCAAAATTCAGTTATTTTCTTTCGCTCTGTCAGTTGTGGCCAAAAGAATCTCAGTTGTTTTAGGAAATTAAAACATCAAGACAGAAAAATTGTCCCATAAAGTCTTCACTTCTTTCCCATACTCTATTCTTTAACTATCTTACTCCTTTGCTTTAAATTATGGTACTAAACTTCACTGATAAGCCAAGGAAATTCATTAAGGGAATTTCAAAATAAGTCATGAGGATAGCATATATAATTCTGATCAACAACTGAGAAAGAGAAACAGGAAAGGGGTCTAAAATTCAGATTAATTTTGATTTTTCATTCTTGGCACAGGGTTAACAAATTCACTAGTCAAAGGAAAACAGATGAACCTGTGGGAACAAAATTAAGAGCTGTTTCTCAAGCATCAGGGGTCCTTGAAGAATATGGAATTCTACTAGCAAAATGGAAGAGGAAAGACCATAAAAGTTAAAAGAACAGATAAAAGCATTACTATATACAGAATTCAGTTTTGCAAAGGGATTTCATATTATCCACTAAATCTGTATTAAGAGCATCGTCATCTTAAGGCTAACTGACTTGGGGCACATTAGTGTAACCCAATGCAGAAGTCTAAGTTCAGAATCTTCTGACAATGTGTTTAATCATTTCAATAAAAGAAGCAAGAAAAGCACAAACTCACCCCGCCCCGCCACCATATTGGTATCTATTCTAAAAACTGCCTTCAGTGATTAAAATGATTTATCCATATATAATGTGGCAACGTTAGTATGCTCAAAAGGTGTCCAAGTATAGTTCTACTTTTCATTGAAGGTTAGATTTCCTGTAAGAGAGGGATTTTAAATGAGGACATTCCTAGGTCCTTCCTTCCCATGACAGGTGGACATTCAAGAAACTTGACTACAGCACTGGAAGGGGAGGGTCTACTGATGGCTCTGCACCTCACCCGTGGTGTCAGGATACAGCCGAAGCTGTTTCTACACATAGAAACACTGCAGTGTGCATTTCTCCTTGCAGCCCCTTCAAACCACTCTTGACTCTTCTCATGGGTTTTCATCTTCATTGGAAAAATACTCATTCCATTCATATGATCATTATGAATGTTGCTGCCAAAGGTTTCCTTTCTTAAGTAAATCATTCAAGAATCTTCACTTTTTTAGACTGAAAGTGAGATTCAGTTACCTCCAAAAGCATCCTCAAAGGGCTATGTGTTCATTCTATCTCCCTTTGACTTGAGAACCAGACTAGATTAACATAAACTGAAATTCTTTTTTTAATTAATTGATTTTTAATTAAAGGACAATTGCTTTACAACATAGTGTTGGTTTCTGCCATATGTTAATGCGAATCAGCCAATTGTATACATATGTCCACTCCCTTTTGAACCTCCCTCCCAACTCCCATCCCATCACCCCTCTAGGTTGTCACAGAGCCCCTAACACATTTTTATCTTTGGTCTGGTTGAGAAGACAAATCATCATTCATCTTAGCTAAAAAGCTACATAGATATTGATAAAATAGAAATCAAATTCCAACTAAATTATAAGGTTGAGGACTCTCTAGTGCTAACACACTAACATGTCTAGACCTTGCTAATATCAGTTTTTATGGCACATGTTCCTAGTATGTTATATTCAGAGTTGGAGAACTCCTACAAGCTGATGAAATAGGTTAATTCATTTGTTTCCAAGTTTATTGCATATTTTAAAGCACACACATCATTCTTCTTCCCTGGAAAACTTGCCTTGCCAGGGCTCTGCTGTTTAAACACAGACATTTCTTGAAGAAATATGCTGAAATTCATCCATGATTCTGCAAGACAATGGCTGAACCCAGGTCTTTCATCTGGTTTCGAATTGATAACTTCCCAGCTAAAGAGAGAGAAAGAAAACAAAACTTTTAACTGAACTTTGGAAAATTCACTCAATATTCATTGCTTCAGCAGATATTTACTGAGCACCTCCTAGCAACTACACTCGCTAGAAAAGCCACATGAATTCAGAGATGAACAAGTCAGATATATGTCCAGGGAAGTTCACAGGCCAAGGCCAGCATGGAACTCCATGATTTTCTGGTCACAAAAAGGAAAAGCATAGGGCGGAGGCTCTGGGGCATCTTTGAAGATGTCACTTTTATGGTATGATCTGGACTTGCGCTCTTTCCTATAAGGGCTTGGAAGGGTTCCAGACAAAACAGTGTATAGCATGTGCAAGAGGCCCTGGTGTGAGATGGAGCTGAAGCACCATTGAGCCTGGTGTGGCTGCAACAGAGCGAACCAGAGAATAACACTGCAGGGAGCTAGGATGGTAGGAAGAGACCTTGTGGGATTCTTAGTAATGTTTTAAACCTTAAGGATACAGAAGCCACAGCACCTTGAAAGAAACCTTGGCATAAATTTTATCATCCTCAACATCAACACTAATATTGCATTTTCAGTATACCCTTGATCCTTGCACAACGCTCCACTGAATCCATGTATGTACAATTTATTGTTGGCACTTCATGTTGGTCATTCCCCTGCATCCAAGGATTTAGCCAACAACAGACCCTGTATATTTACTGTTGAGAAATATCCACTCTAAGTGGATGCACACAGTTCAAACCCAGGTTGTTCAACGGTCAGTGGTACTCCATGTGGGTCAACTCAGTAGAAAACTGCTAAGCTCAACAAGATCTCACAATACCCCATATTTTTCTAGAGTATCTTTTCTCAATCATCATCAAAAAACATGCTGAATGTGGTGCACGTGCCAAGCATGTACTGTGGGTCCCCGTCTTCATTTTTCCCACAGGAACTAAAAACTGTTCACAACTGCTCCAGGAAGGAGACATGCAGACACTGGGCATTTCTTACAAAGCCATCAAGTTCAAGTGCCACTCTTGGAATCCTACCTTATCACATAAATATACCAAACAAGATCTACCAAGGGCCCCCAGATTCAAACATTCCATAGATAATTTTAAACAAATGTGTCCAGTAGAGGACACGTTGTTAGTGAAGTGTCCTCTGAGCTGTGACTGCAAGGGTGCCAGCGTGAGACTGATCTCTAGACTGGACTCCAGTAGCCCCTGTGGCTCCGACGGTAAAGAGTCTGCATGCAGAGCAGGAGACCCAGGTTCGATCCCTGGGTGGGGAAGACCCCCTGGAGAAGGTGACGGCAACCCACTCCAGTATTCTTGCCTGGAAAGTCCCATGACAGAGAGCCTGGAGGGCTACATTCCATGGGTCACAAAGAGTCAGACGCGACTGGGCGACTAACACTTCCACACACTTTCACTGTTAGTTCAGCTGTTCAGTTGCGTCCGACTCAAGTGACCCCATGGACTGCAGCACGCCAGGCTTCCCTGTCCATCACCAACTCCCGGAGCTTGCTCAAACTCATGTCCATCAAGTCCGTGATGCCATCCAACCATCTCATCCTCTGTCATCCCCTTCTCCTCCTGCCTTCAACTCAGCCCTACGACAAATCAAAGCCACTTTGGCCCTTAGATGCTCAACTACCTAGAAACTGTTTCTCTTTAATAAACTTTCAAATCAACACCAAGAAAACTATAAGCAATACAATTTCCCTTTTTAATATAAATTTTAAGCTAATTTAAGTGAGTTCAACAGCACTAAAAAAGAAAAAAAAATGTCTTGTCCTTCCTCTTTGCTCTATCAGCCTCAACCAAAGCTCTGCCAGACAGTAACTGAGCCTCCAGTGTTCAGGCCGATGCTACTCCATGAAGTAGACATTTGCCAAATGATTTCCCAACTATTGTAAGAAATGAACTTTTGGAGACATCTAGCTATCACTCATTCCATTGTAATCATTAAAATAATAATAATCAAATTAGTTCCATTATGTTTTTCATAGATTTTTGTTAGAATTATATTTGCCAGTCAATTTAACCAAATGCTCATATACTACTTACTATGCCTAGAGAGTAGAAATTAAAGTCTTTATTTATTAGGTTAGCCAAAAATTTTGTTTGGGTTTTTTCATAAGATGTTACCCCAAATGAACTTTTTGGCCAACCCAGCATGTCATGCACTGAGCCAGCCGCAGAGGAGCCTACCCTTGACAATTTGTTAACAAGCCTATGTTGTTGTAGAAAGGAAGCCATAGGTTAGTAGCCAGTTCAGTTTTTACTCTCCTGTACAAAATTGTTTCCCATTAAGTTGATGCACTGGCAAGGTTTTGTTACAGACAGTGACCTCCTAGCCAAGCACTGACTGTTTCTTTTAATAGGTCTGGAATCATTCATAGGATATGCAGGCCTAGTGCTAGATTTGGTCACCAGTGTCAGCAGGCTTGCTCAGTGAGTCACGAGTGGGTAGAGTTCATGAATACATATGTAATATTGTAATATTGAGAAGGAAAAAAATCACAGAAGAATACACACAGCATTATTTCATTTTTATAAAGCTCAAAATCACATTAAGCCAACAGTTCTTTAAGCAAGGGTATGTTAAAAACAGGAAAAAAAAACAAAATTCAGGAGAGCAGTTACCTCAGATGAGAGTGTGTAAGGAATAAGACTTAAGTTGGCAATTCTTGAATATCCTTATGTTATATATCTTAATTCAAGTGCTGGATACACAAGAATGATGTATAAATATCACTGTTCTTAAAGCTATATGCACGTACATATTCACAGCCTTGATTTAAAATTCCTTGATTGTTGTTGCTTTTCAGTCACTCAGTTGTGCCCGACACTTTGTGACCCCAAAGACTGCAGCATGGCCAGGCTTCCCTGTCCTTCACCATCTCCTGGAGCTTGTTCAAACTCCTGTCCATAGAGTCAGTGATGCCATCCAACCATCTCATTCTCTGTTGTCCCCTTCTCCTCCCGCCTTCAATCTTTCCCAGCATCACGGTCTTTTCTAGTGAGTTGGCTCTTCACATCAGGTGGCCAAAGGATTGGAGCTTCAGCTTCACCATCAGTCCTTCTAATGAATATTCAGGATTGATTTCCTTTAGGATTGATTGGTTGGATCTCCTTGCAGCCCAAGGGACTTTCAAGAGTCTTCTCCAACACCACAGTTCAAAAGCATCAATTCTTTGGTGTTCAGCATTGTTTACGGTCCAACTCTCACATCCATACATGACTACCAGAAAAAGCATAGCTTTGACTATATGGACCCTTGTCTGCAAAGTAATGCCTCTGTTTTTTAATACACTGTCTAGATTTATCATAGCTTTTCTTCCAAGGAGCAAGTGTCTTTTAATTTTGTGGCTGCAGTCACCATTTGCAGTGATTTTCGATGCTTAAATGTATAATCATTCTTTTAATTAAATGAGTAACATTCTTACATGAGTACATCCCACTTCACATCTTACAGTCAAAATACAAATGTTACCTCCTGTGACAGTACTTTGGGACAATGAATTCCACTGGCTACTTATCTTTATTTTGGACAAAACCCCCTTAGGGAGTTCCCTCATGGGCTAGTGGTTAGGGCTCAGTGCTTTCACTGCCGTGGCCAGGATTCAATCTCTATTTGGGGAACTAAAATCCTTGTGGCTCACCGAAAATTTTCTTTTAAATGCCTTAAGCAATTCTAATGATACCTGCATTACTGTAAAAATCACAAACAGAAATGAGAAATTCATTGTGTACATCATGAAAATATCATCTAACCAAATGGGTTTTGGAAACAGTGTAAATGCCTGAGATAAAAATAAATGTATAGACTGTCCTGAATAAAATTTAATGGAAATACGATTTAAGAAGAAAATTCGGAACTCAAGGGCCAAGAAGAGATGTCCCTCTACATGTACACTCTAATTAATAATGCACCTGGCAGAGTTACTTTCTGGGAGTTTCATAAGACTTTTAAACGGTCCAGTGGCTAATTCTGAGGACCAGTGGACCATAATTTCCATTGTCTTCCATTATATATAGTCTACCAGTAACTCACGTCACCACAGTTCTATTTAGGTAATTCAGTTACATAATATATTTGAATAATACAGTTATATAATTTAGGATGAGATGGGACAATTGATGGCAACTTTTCAAATTCCCTTCTTTTATAAATGGGGAAAGGGAGATCTCTATTTTCTCAGCTAGTTCAGGGCAGAGCCTGATTTCCAACACAGTTCTCTTCCCTTTAAAACACGTGCCCTCTTCAAGGGAAGAATCCATTCAATGACATCTTGCAAGAGACCATGCACTGTTATTTAGAACAAGAAGGAACATAAGCTGATCAACCTCACTCCTTTAGAGTCAGGGGGAACGAAGTGCGACCCAGACCAACAAGGCATTATTAGGACCTACTCTCTACAGAAAGAAAAATATAAAGAAAAAAGTGCTTCCTGTTAAGAATCCAAATATTCATCAGAAGGTAAGATTCATGCCTGATGGGTGGTTGACAAGTTAATACAGGTGACAGCTGCACATACATACACACACGCATGGGTGCACACAGGCTCTGAGTTGCTCTATAAAGAAACTCTAGGTTTTCCTAGAGAGCCTCGCCTGGAAAACGAATAAACAGAGAATGGATCTCCTGTGAATACTGGACGATGCGAGGGAGACAGATCTTTTACATGGCATGTGGCTCTCTTCCCACCATCCTTGGCGCTGATCAACGTGCAACAAAAGACCCAACCAAGAGAAAAGGAGGTTGAAAAATGGTGTGAATCTTGGCCAAGTTTTTTTTTTTTTTTAATCGTTAAAATTTGTTTAAACTCCTTATTTCATATTCAGGAATTGCTGATTAACAAATGTTCTGATAGTTGTTAATCAGCGACTCAGCCATACATATACACGTATCCATTCTCCCTCAAACTCCTCTCCCATCCAGGCTGCCACATAACACTGAGCAGTGTTCCCTGCGCTCTACACTAAGTCCTTGGTGGTGATCCATTTTCAATACAGCAGC